GGGAGTGACAGGATACCAAAGGTTTAATTCCAGGCATGTCTAAGTGACTTCATGCAAATACATCGGCATTGTGAGATAAGAAATCAATTAATTCCCGCTTTTCCCTCTCGGTGAGTCTTATTCCCACTCGGGTAGTTCGATCTGGCCTAGATTGATCGATCTGTACATCAATAAGGGGTTCTTCAGTCAAGTCCACTGGCTCTTCCTCCCCATTCTGCTTGGGTGGAGGTTTCTGTAATTGCTATCTCGGGCTCTTCGATCGGATATGTGCTTTTCCTTTCCCAGCAGATTTCAGTGTCACTGAATAACATTCCTTAGCTGCAACTTGGTCCCCATGAATGTTAATCACCTTGGTGCCGTTTGGCCCCAGGCATCTCATTACTTGGTGCAGAGTGGAAGGAACACCTTGAACTCTGTGGATCCACCCTTTGCCCATCAGAAGGTTGTAAGAGGGATGAATCTCGACAACCACAAAGCTCTCCATCAGAACCCTCTCTGCAGCATGCACTGCTACTTCCACCATACCGATGGGCTCCACTCGTTTTCCATCAAACCCTAGCAAAGGATTCCCAGTGGGATTGACCCGGTCTGGCTTGATCTCGAGCCGATCAAATGTGTCCCTCGGCATGACGTTCGTATTACTTCCAGGATCAATCAGAACTTTGCGTACCAAACATTCGGCCACTGTCAAACTGACGACTAGCGGATCTTCATGAGGAATCTGAACGCTTAACAAATCGGTTCTGTCAAACTTGATTTGCAATGATGCGTTCTGCTGATGCAGATTGTTTACACTGCCTATCCTCCTTTTCATCTGTGCCTGGCGGAGGTTTGTTCTAAGCAATTCTTTTGACTCTTCAGCCAGTTCAGGCCGACCATAAATCGCATGGATTATGCGAACTAGTTATGAGTTATGGGAGCTCGGCTTCTGATTCCTTTTTACTTGCTCCATTGGTCGGTTTTGTTCCACCGCCGTGCCTTGGATATAACTTGCGAACTCCCCTCTGGCTATCAGCATCTCTACCTGCCTCCTTAAGTTCCTGCATTCATTAGTCTGATGGCCAAAGTCAGAATGGAAAGCACAATGCTTAGACTGGTCCCTCTGGTCGAGGGACTGTTTGATAGGTAAAGGAGGTCGGAACTTATCTTTATTTTCTTGGTAGAACCTTGCCAGTGTGACTTTCAGTGGAGTAACCAGCTCTTCCTCTCTGGGCCTCTTTTCAGCTTTCCAAGAGGTCTGATGCTGTGGCTGAGCCTGCTTTTGCCTAATTTTTGCTTTGGTTTTCTCTTTTGTTGTTACTATGGATGTTTTCCGAGCGTTAATTGCTTCTTCTTCTTCTAAGCGTACAAAACCATCAGCTCTTTCATTAAGTTCATCCATGGTCTTCGCTGTATTCACCACCAAACTTGTGTGAAATGGAGTGCCACGAGTCATGGCTAACTTAAATGCTTGAACTGCTGTAGAGGGATGGCATTCGATCACCATGCTTTTGGTTAAGTTGAACCTGGTAAGAAAGGCTTGGAGACGCTCATCCTCATGCTGGCTCATTGTGAACAAACTGGAGACATCTTTTGCCGGGCGTTTATTTCCATAATACTGACTTATGAACCGATCACAAAGGCTTCGGAAACTATCAATCGAACCCCTCGGCAAGTTTTTGAACCAGTTGAGCGCTGGTTTAGCCAAGCTGGTTGGAAAGCACTTGCATATTAAAGAATCATTTTCGGTGTTCAAAGCCATTTTCAACTGGATATGATACACATGATCAACTGGATCAGTCGTTCCGTCAAACAGAATGAAAACCGGTATAGAGAATTTCCTCGCATTCGGAGCATTCAGAATTTCATCAGTGAACGGTGAGTCAACCGTCCGAGCTGCTGAACGTAGTGCCTCATTCTCTCGTTGGCTTGCTACTGCAAATCTCGGATCCGTGAATCTCCTTTCCGAGCTTTGGCAATCAAACGTAGCCACTGAAGGCCGGTAAGGTGGATCAGATGACCTTTCCTCGATGTACTCCTTCTGCCAGATCGGTGCAACCTTTTGGTGTCCAAACTCCATAGATCCTTCTCGGTCAAATCTTTCTGGATACGGATCGGAAGTCCTGGCCTTGTTCCGTCTGATTTGTTCACGCCATGGATTTAAGTGAATCGAGCCCTCACGCTCATCAACACAACGGAGATTTGGCGTCAAATCGTCTGGCCTGACCTCTTCATGGTGAAGATCCGTCTGATTGTTTCCTATCTCCTCACCGTGGTGTGTAAGACTGGGATGTACAATTCCTTCGCCTGTCGGAAGCGGTCGCGGGAGCACCGAAGCTTCTTGACGCTGCATTCCGGCTCTTAGCTTCGCATTTTCTTTTCGGAGAGCTTCGATCGTATTCATCAACTCATCAAGCTTCATCTGCTGGACATTCTCCATCGGATTAGAGCTTTCACCTCCTATCATGATTCCGGAGCGAAGCAAAGGCATGAATCACAAATCCCTAATCAGATTTGAGCGTCACCGATGCAAATTCCGTCAGATCTGGACTCAACTTCACCGAATCGTGGTCACCGTTTGCTAGATCTGAGCTTTTCTGGCTTTGAACTCACCGGATCTAGCTGCGATTGAACAAATCATAGTTGCGTAATACCGACACAAATGCCTCAAAATTAACGATAATCAAGAATCTTCTCTGAACAAACTGCAATCTCTCTGATCTGGATTCAACTTCCAGAAATCAAGCTTTGTTTTCACAAATTTGCTTGAATCAACATGATATTGATCAAGATCAATTCGATCTTCTTCGTCTTTCCCACATATGGCGCCATTGAAGATACGTAGAATTTTCCCTAATCTAGAGAGAGAAACTATGCTCTTCAATACAATTTTTTCGATCCCTATTCCCTCTCATTTCCGTCTATTTATAGACGGTTACAATTACTCCCTCCACTCTCTAACTGACTTCAGCCCTTGGGCTTATCATTGAGGCTATTCAGTTATGGGCCTAATTCCTCTTTGGGGGCCTTCAGCTTCTAACTTCATTGATGGGTCAGCCTTTTGGGTACTGGGTTTGGATCCAGGTTAATATTTAGGACCAAATCCCGTTATGTGGGTCAGATCCGGCCCACGTCGTATTTCACGTCTTCAGTCTCTTATTAAATGGATTTGTTGAAAAAGAGCAACTGGGTGAAGTCATTAAAAAAAAAAAAAATCAAAAGTGCCCTTTTTGTGTGAGAAGAATGCCTTTGCTAATTTTGTATATATTTGAACACTAAATGAGTTTGTTTGCATGTGCTCCAAGACCTGTGCAAGGAAAAAACTCTATGTTTGTTGCCATAGTCTATCTCTCTAAAAAATATATTCTCTCTCTAAAATATCTCGCCACCACCGATATTCTCTCTCTAAAATATCTTTTTGTGGCGGCCGATATTATCTCTCTTTCTTTTCTTTTCTTCTTTTTTTTTTTCTTTACAAAAATCACTGCCAATAATATCTCTTCTAAATAATAGATGTATATTTTCTTGTAAATGAATGATTCTCCCTTAATTATATATAATAATAATAATAATAATAATAATAATAATAATTAAATTAATGAATTTGCTTTGACACAAATTGTTATCCGATGAACTTAGGATTTCTATCAAAATTAAAATTTTGATCTAGTTACTCTTCGACTGGACACAAACTTAAGCAACACATTTTTTTTAAAATTATCTATTTTATTTTATTTTATTAATGTCTATTTTTATCATATCTTGTTCTTTATAATAAATAAGCACAAGGCGAGCCAAACTTTTTGAATTTACCATTAACTTTTTTCTTTTCCTATTTGGTTTACCATTAACTTTTTTTTTTTAGTTGGTTTACCATGAACTTTTCAAGTACAATTTCTCAAAAATCATTAATAAGTGGGATAAAATGCAGTTTAAAAATATATATTATTGATGAGTGAGATTTTCGTGTAGTTAGTGATGTACGTCTATAAATTTTTTATTTTATCAACTATATATATATATATATATATATATATATATATATTCTTGAATATATTAGAAGGATAATGGTTAAATTTTGTAAAAAGTAACTAGACACTCACATTCCAATTTTGTTTTAAATATTGTGACACTGATCTATAATCTTTATACTTTTATGTTATGACTTTAAGGGTAATTTTGATATTTTGTCTTTTGTCTTTTTTATTTTTTTATTTTTACAGTAAGGTTAATTTAGTAATTTTACCACCAAAATTATGATTTGTCCTTATTTGCACAAATTAAATTGAAAATAGTAAGGGAGTTTTTCAAACAATAGTGGGATAGTTGCACATTTTACATATAATGAGAGTATTTTTTTGCACTTAACCGTATTTTATATTTATTAACATCCTAATACAATACAGTCCCATATGTTCTATATTAATTAGACTATTGGTGGTAAACTCCATATTTAAGTAAAATTCTGTAACACTGTGGTTGGAACCTTGGGATTTGATAGGAATTGAAATTTTAAAAGAATTTCAGTTGTTTGGAATGACGAAATTTGAAAAGAGAAAGGGATTTGATGGGATTTTAAATTGGCATGGAGAAATCGATGGAAAAATGGAAGGATTTGATGGGATTTGGAATGTAATTACAATTTTATCTTTTTATTAACCGTTTTCTTGTCTCTAATTCTAAAAATCACCTTTATAACCGCCACGTTGCTATATCCCAAATTGGTACAAAGATGATTTTATTTCTAATTCCTTTATACAAATTCCAATTTCTTCTAAACACTAATTTACTCACTTTTATTTATATTTTTTAGTATCAAATCGATGTCAGCATTTGCAACTGTAGCAATGGGTTGTTAGAAGTATTATTTCAACTCTAATTTTTTTTTTTTTTTTTTCCTATATTAACTTGTAATGAGTAAATACCCTTTATATATATATATATATATATATATATATATATATATATATATTTTTTTTTTCCTTCTAGATTTTGATTTTAATGTGCTTTCTACTTGATAGGTCCGATGATAAGTTTATCAAATGCATTGTTCAAGTGATTTTAGAAAAATTGCAACCTAAACCATTCATAGTTGCTCACTACGAAGTGGGTATCAATGCACGTGTGGACAAAATAATGTCTTTGCTTGAGGAAGATCAACTCTTTGTTGGGATTTGTGGAATTGGAGGAGTAGGTAAGACAACTGTAGCCAAAGCAATTTTCAACAGAATATCAAAAACTTTTGAAAGAAGTTATTTTCTTGAAAACGTGAGAGAAGAGTCAACAAATTATGGTGGTCTAGCTAAAGTACAAAGCAATTTTCTCAGAGAGATCCTAATGGATAAAAATATAACCATATCATATCTTGATAGGGGTATCAATGAGATAAAGGAGAGACTTCGTAATAAAAGGCTTCTTCTAGTGCTTGATGATGTAGATAAAGAAAATATATTGAAGTACTTAGTTAGAGAAGCCGGAGAGGAATGGTTTGGAAATGGTAGTAGGATCATCATAACAACTAGATAGAGACAGTTGTTGAAAAAATACAATGTTGGAATATATGATATTGAGGTACTAAATGACAGTGAAGCACTAGAACTTTTTAGTTGGCATGCATTCAAGCAAAATAAGCCTAAAGAAGAATATGAGAAACTTTCACACCATGCAAAAGATTATGCCAAAGGCCTTCCACTGGCTCTTAAAGTTTTGGGTTCCTATTTAAGTAATAGAAGCAAGCAAGATTGTTTAACTATATTGAATAGGTTGCAGACCAAGCCTCCCAAAGAAATTCATGAAGTTTTAAGAATTAGTTATGAAGGCCTTGATAAGGAAGAGAAGGATATTTTTCTTGATATCGCATGTTTCTTCGAAGGATACAATAAGAAATATGTCATAGACGTTTCTAAAAGGCCTGAATCTGACACGGCTTTGGAATAAAAATTCTTAGAGAGCGGTGCCTCATTAATATATCAAAAAACAACCACATGTCAATGCATGATTTGATACAAGAAATGGGTCGAGAAATTGTTCGTCAAGAATCTAATGATCCTGGGAGGCATAGCAGGCTGTGGTCTTATGAGGACATCTATGAAGTATTTACTGAAAATACGGTACGTGCTAAAGGCATATATGTTAGTTTCTTAATTTCCACGTGCAAGATGTGCCAAAAAAAAAAAAGGTTTCTTGTATTGTATTCCATGTAGTCTTCTTTGAAGTTGTAGAATTTTAATTAGGTTTTTATTTCTTGGTTGATAGGGGACAGAAAATATTGAAGGCATTGTGTTACCCGTGAAAGAATTATCTTTAGAAGATGTTGACTTCTTCGAGGGAAGGTTGCATGTAACCACAAGTACCTTCGCAAAGATGAGGAAGCTAAGAATACTCAAAATTAGTGGCGTGGAACTTCATGAATGCCCTAAGTATCTTTCACATGAGTTAAGGTATCTTGACTGGAGTGACTATCCCGCAGAACATTTGCCATACCATTTTCATCCAAAAAATCTCGTTCAACTCCATTTACGTAAAAGCCCGATCAAAGAGATTTGGTCCAATACAAAAGTAAGATAAATATTTCACTCACGCTATTTTCCTTTTGGTAAATTTTTTTTTCCAGTTTTTTGAAAATAATAATTTTCTCCGGTCCATTAAAGCTAAATTATTTTACTATTTATTTTTTAACAGTTTCCAAAGATGTTAAAAGTTCTTGATCTCAGTTACTGCAAAAATTTGGGAAAAAATCCTAATTTTTCAAGGTTCCCATTTCTGGAGAAATTGCTTCTTATAGGTTGTGAAAGCTTGGTTGAGGTTGGATTCGATGACAAGAAGGTAATGTTATTATTTTAACTGCAATACGCCTCTCTTTGCAAAATACTTTGTCAAGTTGGTTGAAGATAATTTATATCATAAGTTATTTGTTTCAAAAGCTTTTGGATTAGTTAAAAGTCATTGATATCTTATATATATATATATATATATATATATATATATATATATATATATATATACACACACACACACACTAAGAAAAGGAACGATGCACGTGATGAATGTTTTGTAACTTATTTTATTATTTGGTAAATTATTTTATTAAATAATTACCTATTTCACCTATTTCTTAGTTGTTTTAATAATGATTTTGAAACTCATTTATTTTAATTCATTTTATTTATAGAAACTTTTTTTTTATTTTAATTCATTTTATATCAATTAATAAATATTTTTTATATTAATAAATAAATACTGAAATACTAAAAGAAAATAAAATAGTTAATTTGTGGTAGAGTTTTATAGATCATTTTTTATATTAATAATTCTTATCTAATTAAATTTTCTTTTATTAAAAAATTCATAATAAAAGGTAATTTGCGGTAGAGTTTTACAAAAATTATTTATTTTTTATATCAATTAATAAATATTTTTTATATTAATAATTCTTATCTTATTAGATTTTCTTTTATTAAAAACTCATAATAAATAGATAAATAGGTAATTTGCATTAGAGTTTATTATAGAAACTCTTTAAACATATCCTTGTCTAATGTAATTGAATTTTAATGAAAATAAAATAGGTAATTTGTGTCAGAGTTTTATACAAATTATTTTATTTTCTTTAAATATATCATTGTCAAATTAGATTTTCTTTTATTAAAAAACTCATAATAAAAGGTAATTTGAAATACAGTTTTAGAGAAATTATTTTATTTTTATATCAATTAATAAATATTTTTTATATAAATAATTATTGTCTAATTAGATTTTCTTTTGTTAAAACACTCATAATAAATAGATAAATAGGTAATTTGTGTTAGAGTTTTATAAAAACTAATTTAAAAAATTATTTTATTTTTTTAAATATATCCTTGTCTAATAATATATTATTTTATTAAAAAACTCATAATAAATAGTTAAATACATGTTATGTGTGATAAAATTTTAAAGAAAATAAAATAGGTAATTTGTGGAAGATTTTTATAGAAATTATTTTATTTTCCTTAAATATATTCATAATAAATAGGTTATATGTGATGAAGTTTTAGAAAAATTATTTTATTTTTTTATATCAATTAATAAATATTTTTTATATTAATAATTCTTGTCTAATTAGATTTTTCTTTATTAAAAAACTTATAATAAATTGATAAATAGGTAATTTATGTTAGAGTTTTATAGAAACTCTTTTAAAATCTCTTTTTATATCAATTAATAAATATTTTTTATATTAATAATTCTCGTCTAATTATATTTCCTTTCATTAAAAAATTCATAATAAATAGATAAATTGGTAACTTGTGTTAGAGTTTATTGAAACTCTTTAAATATATCATTGTCTAATGTGATAGAATTTTATTAAAAATAAAAGAGATAATTTGGGGTACAGTTTTACAAAAATTATTTTATTTTCTTTAAATATATCATTGTCTAATTAGATTTTCTTTTATTAAAAAACACATAATAAAAGGTAATTTCTAGTAGAGTTTTAGAGAAATTATTTAATTTTTTATATCAATTCATAAATATTTTTTATATTTATAATTCTTGCCTATTTAGATTTTCTTTTGTTAAAAAATTCATAATAAATGGATAAATAGGGAATTTGTGTTAGAGTTTTATAGAAACTCTGTTAAAAAATTATTTTATTTTCTTTAAATATATCATGTTTAATTAGATTTCTTTTATTAAAACTCATAATAAATAGATAAATACAGGTTACATGTGATAGAGTGCTAAAAAAATAAGAAAAGGTAATTTTAAATGGACTTTTATATAAATTATTTTATTTTCTTTAAATATATTCATCATAAATATGTAAATACAGGTTAAATGTGATAAAATTTTATAGAAAATAAAATAGCTAATTTGTAGTAGTGTTTTATAGAAATTATTAATATTATTTTTAAATATGCTCTTGTTTAATTAGATTTTATTTTATTAAAAAAGTCATAATAAATAGATAATGTCATAGAGTTTTATAGAAAATAATTTGTGGTAAATTTTATAAATTTTTCTGTATTTTCTTTAAAAATATTCTTATCTAATTAGATTTTCTTTTATTAAAAAAACTTATAATAAATAGATAAATAGGTAAAATGTGTTAGAGTTTTATAGAAACTCTTTTAAAAACTCTTTTTATATGTGTTAATAAATATTTTGTTTATATTAATAATTATTTTCTAATTAGGTTTTCTTTTATTAAAAAACTCATAATAAAATGTAATTTTGTTAGAGTTTTAGAAAAATTATTTTATTTTTTATATAAATTATTAAATATTTTTTATATTATTAATTTTTGTCTAATTAGACTTTCTTTTATTAAAAAACACATGATAAATTGATAAATTGGTTATTTGTGTTAGAATTTTATCGAAATTTTTTAAAATCTCTTTTTATATCAATTAATAAATATTTTTAGACACTCTTTAAATATATCATTGTATAACGTGATAGAGTTTTATTGAAAATAAAATAGCTAATTTGTGGTAGAGTTTTATACAAATTATTTTATTTCTTTAAATATATCTTAGTCTAATTAGATTTTTTTTTTATTAAAAAACTCATAATAAAAGGTAATTTGTGGTAGAGTATTAGAGAAATTATATTATTTTTTATATCAATTAATAAATATTTTTTTATATTAGTAATTACTGTCTAATTAGATTTTTTTTAATTAAAAAACTCATAATAAATAGATAAATAGGTAGTTTGTGTTAGCGTTTTATTGAAACTCTTTTAAAAACTCATTTTATATCAATTAATTAATATTTTTTTATTTATATTTTGAAATAATTTTTTTGATAATTTGAATTTTATTAGGTAATTTTTAATTTGAATTTTATTATGTAATTTGAATTAAATTTTTAGGTAATTTTTTTTTATATTAATAATTTTTGTCTAATTAGATTTCCTTTTATTAAAAACTCATAAATTGATAAATAAGTATTTTGTGTTAGAGTTTTATAGAAACTCTTTTAAAATCTCTTTTTATATCAATTAATATATATATTTTTTATATTTATAATTTTTGCTTAAATAGATTTCCTTTAGTTAAAAAACTAATAATAAATAGATAAATAGGTAATTTGTGTTAGAGTTTTATAGAAACTCTTTTAAAATCTCTTTTTATATCAATTAATAAATATTTTGTTTTATATTTATAATTTTTGTTTAAATAGATTTCCTTTCATTTAAAAACTAATAATAAATGGATAAATAGGTAATTTGTGTTAGAGTTTGATAGAAACTCTTTAAATATATCATTGTCATAAGTGAATTATGTGAATTTTATTGAAAATAAAATAGGTAATATTTGGTAGAGTTTTATTATGAAACCTGTAATAAATAGATAATGTGATAGAGTTTTATTAAAAATAAAATTGCTAATTTTTGGTAAATTTTGTAGCAATTATTTTATTTTCATTATAGAAATTTGTATTCTTAGCTACTGAAAATGTATTGATTATTAGTAGAAATGGTAACATGATCTTGACATTTGGAAATATGAAAGTGGACATTAAGAAAAATGAAAGAATC